CAAAGATGACGATGTGGAAGATGAAATCTAGAGGGGGGCCCCCTTGTGCCAGGCACCGCTCTAAGTGCTGCCAGGGAACTACTCTGTTAACCCTCCGGACAGTGCTGGAAAGTAAGCAGCCATTACTGTCTCCATTTCCCAGATAAGGACGCTGAACCCCAGAGCGATGAAGCACCTTGCTGGGACTGCGCGGCCACCAGGGGGCAGACCTGAGCCAAGTCCACGTCCAGTGATAGTGTCCACTCACTTGTTGAAGACGACACTCAGGGGAGGATGTAACTGTGCTAATCCAGCCCAGAGCCACCCCGGACGGGCCTCACTGGACCCAAAGGTCTGCCCCTTGGCAGCTAAGGTGTCATCAGAGGAAGTGGGCCATCAGCCAAGCACCTCCCCACCTCATGTGAACTGAACTTTGTTCCCATGGACTCAAAACCTGTCACCCAAGGAACACTGATGCCTGCACACACCACAGCGTCACCCACTGCCCACCAGGCTCAAAACAGTCTCTGAGAATTGAGACAAAGGTACCCCTTCCAAGGGCAACAAGCCCACGGACCATCCCTGAAGGGTTTCGCTGAAGGTCTGCCTTGTGCTGAGCAGAGCACCCGGCGGCGCCCTGGCACAGGGGGCAAGGGGACCTGGGCTCCAGGTCCTGTGTCAGCACTGACCCTGAGCAAGATACTTAGCCTCTCTGAGCCTCCGTTTTCTCCTCTCTGACCATTCAGACTGGGGGGTGGAAAGATAGGAATGACACTGCCCCTCGGGGCTGTGGTCGTCAGTAAGTCAGCCCGCCCCTCCTCACCGCAGACGCACACCCACAGGTGACACCACGCAAGGTCATCCATCCCCAAAGCGTCTAAGGGGTCAAGTCCGGGCACAGGAGGTGCGGGTGATGGAAGGGTTTTCCTTACGTTTTCTGACACACACGGCCCTTTCACGTTCAGAGATACACATGGCCCGATGGCTCCCGCGATCTTCAGTTCCCGCGAGGTCTGAAACAGAATTTCATGAGAGTATGCAGTTAAAAATCACCAAAAACCACCCGATCACAAAGGACACAACTAAAACTTGGGGGAAGACTAGGGCAGGGTTATCATTCTACCAAGAAAATCCTACAAGTATTACAGTATATGAACGGCCCCGTACAAGCTTCCCCAGGACCCTGCGAGCTGGTCAAAGCTTTCAGGAAACCCTCCTTTGGAAACAGCATTATCTTTGTTCCAAAGATGATGCAGCATCTTCCGCGTGCTCGGCTGTGAAATCGTCGTGCACACAGAAGGCAGCAACTCCACCGACGGCACTGCCTTCTCCTCCAGTTCCACGAGCCTCACACAGTTCGTGACAATTTTCAATCAGCAAATGTGCTGCTTTGTGTTGCTTTAAAAATACTCAATTCATGAACTCCAACGCAACGACAAGGCCAACAACCCACCGAGAATTTAAATCTGAATTCATTTCAGCAAAGTTCACTCCTCTTCATCTTTCTAAAAAAAAACCCTCAAATGTTTGACACTGGTTTACAGTTTAACCTAAACGATTTAATAATGATCTCCAGTTGGCCAAGTAGTATTTCCAATCATATTTTCTAACGGCCCCTTGAATGTTTTCTCAGATGACGCAGAATCAAGCGTGCAGGGCGATCAGCCCCGACGTGGAAAACAGCCCCCGAACTCACGACGCTGCCCTGTGACCGGGCGCACTGGCTCGTCTGCAGGCAGGCACTACATGCAAACCACAGTCCTGCGCGTATGGCGGCCCTCACCGACGGCTGGGTGGACGCCCGGCCCACCACCCGTCTGGCCTGCTGTCCTAGAGCAGAGCAGAGCCTCCCGGGGAAGCGGACACTCTGTTCACAACACTGATAAACACACGGGCCACTCCCAAGAAGCAAAGGGATAGAATGAATACACTTCGTCGGGATATTTCGCTGGGACCCTTTTAACTAATCTTCAGATGCCTGGGTCCTGCAGGCTGAGGCTTCCCAAGTCTATACTACTCTTTCATTCAAGTTTTAGAAATTTATTATACCTTTACTTCCAAAGCAGCACCAAATGCCATTCGGAAATGTCCATTAAAATCTTTACTAAAAATTCTTTGGAATGTCTGCTTGAAGAGAGAAGTGTTGAATGAATCTCCCATCACCATGTAGCCTCTAGGAGAGAAAAAAGGAAAAAGAGAGTGAGCATTTAGGATGACTGAAAGCCATTCAGATGCTTCCTTGGCACGTATGAACAATTACTTTACAGAAGAACAAAGCAAGCACGTCCATAAAAGCGCTTGTGATGAGGTAAATGGAAAAGAGCCAGCTCAGTTTGTACTAAGGAAAGACACTACGTTTAAACATTAAACACAGAACCCTTTAGAGCAGTGCTGTACTCTGATCACTGTGATGGCCATACAAACCCACAGAGAGGATAAAATCTCACAGAAGTATACAGACACACAAACTTTATAAACAATGCCACTCCTGGGCATATATCTGGAGAAACCTCTAATTCAAAAAGACACGAGCACCCCAATGTTCACAGCAGTAATATTGACAACAGCCAAGACATGGGAACAACCTAAATGTCCATCGACAAAGGACTGGATGAAGAAAATGTGATGTATATATACAATGGACTACTACTGAGCCATGAAAAAGAAAATAATGCCACTTACAACAACACGACTGGACCTGGAGACTGTCAGCCTAAGGGGAGCAAGCCAGAATGAGGAAGAAAACTAGCACACGATACCACTCATTTGTGGAATCTTAAAAAACGGCACCAATGATCTTATTTCCAAAACAGAAACAAGATCTACAGGCATAGAAAACAAACTTGTGGTTACTGGGGGGTTAAGGGGGTGGGAAGGGATAAATTAGGAGCTTGAGATTTGCAAATACTGCTATATATAAAATAAAAGTGCAAGGGTACAGCTCAGTGGCAGAGTGCACGCCTAGCACACACAAGGTCCTGAGTTCAATCCCCAGAACCTCCATGAAGAAAATAAGTAAATAAGTAAACCTAATGCCCTCCCCTTGAAAAAAAAATTTTTAAATAAATAAATAAACAACAAGGTCCTACTGTATAGCATGGGGAACTATATTCAATATCTTATAGTAGCCTATAATGAAAAAATATGAAAAGGAATATATATGTGTATAAATGAATCACTATGCTGTGCACCAGAAACTAACACAACATTGTGAATCGACTATACGTCAGTAAAAAAATAACTGAGTGCACGTAAAGACTGGTGAGAGCACGCACGGCCTGTACTGCAGAAACTAAATTGGAGCAACGCCAACTTCCTGGTTCTGACACCGTGCTGTGTTTATGTAAGATGCTACCACGGGGAGCTGCAAGTTGAAAAGTATGAACAGACTTATTTCAAAATAAAAAGTTGAAAAAAAAAGGTGCTACAACTGGATAAGGTGTGAGCAGCACCAAGGAAACCGAGGCTGTGCTCCTCCTTGAAGGCAACGGGCTCCTGCAGCACAGCCCAGGCCACCCTGCCTTTGCTGGAAGTCGTCCCAAATGGCTGGCTCACTTCAAGCCATCAACGAGAACCTCAAAGTCTTTTTTTTTTTAATGTCACTGTTAACATCTTTCCCTGATACTGTACTTGTGCGACAGGTGATGTGACCTAAACATAAACAGTGAGCTGTTCAGGAGTCAGACCCCACAGAGGACACGACAGGAGTGCTGGGCCCTCTCCACAGAAGTGTGCACACACGTGAACCCTGGTGTGTAAGCTGGGGGATGCTCACAAGCACACTGAAGCTGTCCTGTGATGTTCCAAGACAAGAGCTCCTGGATGGCACGGGGGCAGTCCACCTTATTAAAAGAACTCACAGGCATAGCCATGTTGGTGTCACCAAGATGTGGGTCCCAGCTTCCACCCTCCCCCCTCCACTCAGCGAGGACCAGCAGCACCACCTGGGAGCCCAGTGGACACGCAGGATCCAGGGTCCACCCAAGGCTCTAGGCCAGTGGTTCTCAAACTAAATTGTGTTTGAATGATTCCCAGGGAATTTGCACACAAACGCGGGTTTTGAGACAAGGTTCAGCTGAGGCTCAAGATGCTGCCTGTGCTCAGCCACGCCGGGAGCAGGAAGGGCCCACACCAGCGGTTCTCAAACTCTGCTCCACATCGGAAACCCTCGGGAACCTTAAACCTGCTGATGCCCAGGCCATGCCCCATGCTAACAGCCCAGAATCTCTGGGGAAACAAGACCCGAACCAAGAGTAGTTTGTAGGGTTCCCAGGTGATTCTGATGTGCGGCGGCTCAGCCCAGCACTGCACATCAGTGGTTCTCCAGCTCTGTGTGCACCAGAATCCCTGGAGAGCTTGTTAAAACCGACTGCCAGGCTGCATCCTCAGTCTCTGATTCGGGAGGCGTGGGGTGAGGCCCGGGTGTGCACATGTCTAGTCAGCCCCCACAGGCCCTGAAGGCAGCTGGCCGGGCACCACTCCTGGGCAATGAGGACGTGGGCTCCAAGCACGCCCCGAGCAGCGCCCTCCGGGCCGAGCATGTGCGGCTGTTAGCAGGTGCGGTCAGTAAACCGGGCGAAGGCGCTCCCAGTTGCTCTGGCATTTAGACCTATTCTCCCCCATTCTCACAAGGCAGTGCTGAAGGCCAGGCCCTCCACACCTGCCTTCTTGCCCTGCTGTCTGTAACAGCTCTAAGGGAGAAGTCAAGTTACTGAGACACGACATGTTCACAGTGAACCCTGACCTCCAGTTGATCACAGCTTCTCCCTCCAAGAGGCCCACACACCCTCCCCGGCCCCTGAAACCCAACCCGGAGCCCGTGAGAGCACACCCAAGCCAGCCTTGCCCACTGCTAGGGTTCCGTCACTCACTTCCCTTTCCTTCAAATGACCACTCTCACTTTCCCCAGGTATTCGCCGCCCACATACCCAGTAAGATTTGTGCAACACTTCATCTCCAAAAGGCCAGTCTGATCAAGGGCACAGGCGTAAATATCAATGCAGTGACCGTTCGCAGCTGCTCGGTTAGCAAGCATCTCGTAGTGCTGGGAAGACAGAAGAGCCATCTTGACGGAGCGGCAGCGTTACTCACCAGGCAAGCCTTACTACACCGAAGGGATGCCATCAGAGGAACACGTGGACAATTTTCTTTGTGACATCCAAATAAAATAAAAGTGTAGTTTTCAACCTCAAAATTGTTTAGTAGTTTTAAGGTCACACTAACTGAGGTCTCAGAACGGGGACAGACACTAACATCTGGAAGGTCATCTTGGCAGGAGCAACACACCACCCACAGGGCACGGCCTCGGAGGGCCAGCTGGCCCCCAGCGCGGCCTAGCCCCGGCCCTGGGCCACCACCCGAGTGCCTGCGGCCGGGAGCACCTACCTTGGTCGCCTTCTTCATGAAGCGTGCGTTATCTTTCTCAATATCGTGCCAGGAACGGATGGGGACCTTTAACTCATCTCCAACCACCATGCCAGGCCCTTGGGTGGGGGGACCCCCCATAAACAGCATAATCCGGGCGCCCGTGTTTGGGAAAGTGCCCTAAAGCAATAAATGGCAGCATTTTAGAAACACACAGCCCACCCCAAGTGTGTTTCACTTCCCCCAGAAGTGCTCCCAATGTGAGTTCTCAGCTGCCGTGAATACCGACGACACTGCAAGACAGCTGCCCCTCTCTTCCAACCAGAGGGTCTGGCACACCTTTCTTCATTTACTGGGAGCACTTCTCAGTGCCCTAAAGGCCTTTTGTTTCTCATGAAAACTCTGTAGGTTCGAAACATCGAGGGCCTCTTTGGTGGGGAAAATAATAATGATTGAAACACATCCTGATAAGTCAACCCTGTCAGCTGATTTACACCACGACTGGTTTTCAAACAAGGCCCACAGAGACACCTTCTGCGAGCAAGCCTGCACGGTGCGCGAGGGCCCGGTCAAGCCTGCGTTACCTCCAGCAAGCCGACAGCAATGGACACGGCCACACCGGTGGACCGCAGAGGCCTCTTCCCCTGAGGTACGGGCCACGGGTCCCTCTGCAGCTCCCCGAGAAGATCTGTGAGGTTCATGTCGATCTTGTGCACGGGCTGCAGAAATCTGCATGATTTCGAATGAACACATGAACCCTGGTTTAATCAAGCACGCTGGTCTTCAGCCCCATGGGACACATGGTTACTGCTCTTCAAATTAAGTATCAGGGTAGAAAAAACTCAGAGCTGTTTTTTTCCTCAATGTTCTCTCTCACTACAAACCCGAAACAACTCAAAACAGTTTTATTTGGGGATATAATTTAAAGCCTAATGTGTAGCAATTTACACGTGCAGCATTAGAAAACAATCAATTTAAATAGAAGCAAATCAACTTAATTAAATTTTAAGCAGCAAAGAAATCCCAAACACATGCCTAACATGAACTCAGTCCACATAAAGCTCATGTACGCGGACAACTTCATCATTTGAAAGATTCAGTTTTTCTCCTGAGTTGTGACAGTAATACAGAAACACCCATTTCTTACTGGAGCGGGAGGCTGTCCCCAGCTTCTCGGGCAACGCACTTTATCATGTTTGCTGACTGTTAACCCAGCCCCGGGCAGCCCTAGGAGAGCAACGGGCCCCGTGAACCCAGTGCCTGGTCTCAGGTTTGCAGGAGGATGCCCAAAAGAAGCCTTTCCAGTTTCCCCGGCTTTACTTAAGAACCAAAAAACGACAACAGCGTGTGTGTAAGAGGGGAGTGACTGCATAAAGAGGTCTCAAAAGACCTGTAATGACACTAAGAGGAAAACCATTCTGAGCAAATCTGCCACCCGTGTACATATACACGTGTATTTATGCAGATCATATATAATAGTAATTTAGTCATAAGTTTCAAGTATATGCTGATGCATCATGTTCATTATTAAACATTAAATACAGGTTAGGCTTATTAATCTTTTGTTTCTCCTCCAAAAATAAGAAAACAAACCCTCCCGCATCATCCTCCCTCTCCCCCAGCAAGCACCACGCAGGCTGGCTGCGGGCGTGCGGGGCTCCGGGGGTCTCACCTGCTGGAGACGAAAGGCTGCTCGTGCGGCTGAGCAGGTCGCGCCGGCTGCACAGGCACGGTGGGCTTGGTCAGGCCCAGCATATCCTAAACAGACCACAAAGATTCATTTCCCATAATGCTAAAGGTGAACGACTAATTTTTTTTTTCCTTTTTCCTAACCAATTTTTCAGAAATCTCCTCGCTCCGGCCTGGGTACAAGCAAGGCCCAAACCTGTATCTGCTTTGCAGTTAAATCCTTGGTGCCCCGGAAGACGTAGCTCTTGGAGATTCCTTCGCAGCTGAGTTCGTGCACCTGCACCATCCTCCCAAACGTGATCAGACCCACCAGAGAGTCCGGAGGAAGGAGACTCAGGGACATTTGCAGGGATTCTTTGAGTGCTTGAAGGTCATCCTCTTCCAGGCACGTGTCGACCACGTAGAGGAAGATCAGAGGGCACTGAGGACCCCGCTTTATGCAAAGGAAGACAATACAATGGTCATTGTACATAGACCCCACCAGCTCTTCTGAAAGCAAACCAGGTACGTCAACAGCAAGTCCTGATTTATGTGTAGGTCAGAGACGAGGACACCTCAACACACCTCTG